ACAGAAGGAGGAAATATATGTTAAGAGAGGAGGTGGAAAAGTAGCTGTGTGGTGGCTCAGACTATTGAATTCAATTGAAATTGAAGGTGCTCATACCACGCAGGTCTAACTGCTGTAAACCCGTAAAACTGCTGTTTTCATGGTGAATGGTGCTTTTTCCTTGTTTTTATGACAGTGTTGTAAAGTCATTGAACAGTGGATTTGGCCCTGAGGTTAGACTGACTCCGGGATATCTGAAGGATTTGGGGTTTGAGGATGTGAGAGCATTGCGTGGAGGTGAGGATATAGGTTAAGGACAAAGGTCAGATGCAGAAAGAATAAACATCAAGTCAGAGCTTGCATTAGGAGAAATGCATCATGATTTTTAGCAGGTCCTTATCAGTGCAGTAACACCTGCATATGTTTTCAGCACGGACAGTTTATTATTGTTAAAAGCTCAGGTATTGTGTGGGGTCTTACTCTGAAGAGGTGAGTTATTTACACACAGACACTGAAATCTGACGTTCACAGACACAACCCTTCATTAACAACAGGTGATTAGATGGTTGATGTAATCCCTCAGTGGTTACTGGTGAGAAACCACAGCAGCAGGATGTTATAAGGTGACTGAAACCCAGGGTGCTATTTTTATTTCCTTTCAGGCCGACGCTCATAGAACTTGACCGGCGCACGTGACACATCACAGGCAACAAAAAGTATTTTCTTCAGGTTCAGGCTAACACAGATTCTTTTGAGCATACTTGGAGCTTTTGACAGGAGATAGCACTAGAGAATCAGGGGCCAGCACACAAATATACAACATTGTTTGCTGCTCACAAGCGTGCACAGATGTTTTCTGCACCTTGTTCTTTTAACTCTTATGACCTAGTGGTTCATCTAGAAATTCATCTGTAAGGAAGGCTGCCATCCCCTACACTGTCTGTTGTAGCATATGAATAATAATGAATTGTGTAGGCTTGTGTCTGTCTGCTGACTGTTCTTCGTCTCTCACCTTTTTAACAATCTTTTATCTCACTCTCACTCTCTCTGTCCTTCGCCCTCACAGCAGATCCATAAACTGCTGTTTGTGGTCTGTGAATGAGTGTGTGTACTGGTTTTTGTTGTGTCTTTAGGACCTTTTCCAGAATAAACACTGATCTTGTCAGAACCTCATGAGAACCAAAGCCCTGTCTAATGAGTCAAAACACCATTTCTGAGATCCTGGTTAAGTTCAGTGGTGAGATGTGAATTGTGTTGAGGTTAAGGTTAGGGTCAGCCATGCATTGGTCATGTTTGAGGTGAAGCATAAGGTTTTAGTTAGGCTGTCTACATTGGATGGAAGTCAATGCAAGGTCCTTATAAGGATGGCTGCACAAACCAAACCTGTGTGTGTGTGTGTGTGTGTG